GGAATACCTGAGAGTGAGGATGTTTATATGGGAGGAGATTTTAATGGACATGTAGGGAGAGTGAATGACGGGTATGAAAGAGTACACGGTGGAGGGGGGTACGGAGTGCGGAACCGTGAGGGGGAAGTTCTTCTGCAAGCAGCATGTGCTTTCGACCTGGCTGTAGTAAACACGTGGTTCCAAAAACGAGATCAGCATCTTGTTACTTATAAAAGTGGCCACCACGCGACACAGATCGACTAACTTCTGATAAGACGGAACCAAATCAAGAGTCTAAAAAACTGCAAAGTGCTTCCAGGTGAAGACTTAGTATCCCAGCACCGAATTCTGCTGGCTGACATCTGCTTAACTGTTCGCCTCAACAAACATAAGGATCGTCCCCCACCCAAAATAAAGTGGCATTTGTTGCGTAAGGAGGAGTATGCAAGTGAATTTAGAGAGCTAGTTGTAAACAAGATGATAGAGATGGGTGATATGGAAGGAATGAGTGTGAATGAGTGCTGGAAGGAAATGGCTGATTGTATCCGAAGTGTGGCAAGGAAGGTGTTAGGAGAAACAAAAGGGAAGCGTATGATAGATAAGGATGGGTGGTGGTGGAGTGAAAGTATTAGAGAAGTTTTGAGAGAAAAGAAAAATGCCTTTAAAGAATGGCAGAGCGTAGAAGACCAGAATGATTCCATAAAAGAAAGTAAGAGAGGGGCGTATAAAGAATGTAAGAAGAGAGCAAAGAAGGAAGTTGCTATTTGTAGGGCAGAGGTGCAAGATAAATTATATCGGTCCCTTGAAAGCCCCGAAGGTCAAAAACGACTTTTTCAAATTGCAAAAAGCGAGAGAAAGGAATGGAAGAGATGTTTCACATGTAAAATGTATAAAAGATGATTCTGGAAGGATTTTGACTGACGATGAAAGTATAAAGAAGCGATGGAAGGAGTATTTTGAGAAATTGATGAATGAGGAGAATGAATGGAATGGTATGCTTGAAAACCCACCAGTGAATATGGGCTTAGTGAGAGAAATTAGTGTGGAAGAAGTACAAATGGCTGTTAGGAATATGAAGAATGGGAAGGCGGTCGGCCCAGATGGAATACCAGTAGAAGTGTGGAAGTTGCTGAGTGCGGATGGATGGAAGTGGTTGAGTTTATTTTTCGGTAAATTGTTGCAGGAAGAACAAATACCTGAGGAATGGTGCAGTAGTATACTGGTCCCCATTTTTAAAAACAAAGGAGACGTTCAAAACTGCAGCAGTTACCGGGGAATAAAACTCATGTCACATACGATGAAAGTCTGGGAAAGAATAATAGAGAAAAGAATGAGAGAAGAGTGTGAGATAACACAAAACCAGTTCGGATTCATACCCGGTCGAGGTACGACAGATGCCATTTTCGCATTACGCCAATTGTGCGAAAAGTATAAGCGCGTGCATAAAAATCTGCACATGGTTTTTGTCGACCTTGAAAAAGGCGTACGATCGGGTTCCCCGTGAGGTATTGTGGTGGGCGTTAAAGATGAAAGGTATGCCTGGGAAGTATGTGAGGTAAGTCCGTGCTATGTACAGAGCATCCCGTACATGTGTACGATCTGCCGCGGGAACTACGGGCAGTATCGATGTGGCGGTAGGGCTGCACCAAGGGTCGGCATTGAGCGCTTACCTCTTCCTACTGATTATGGACGCTTTGACGTCGGACCTGCAGGATGAGGCACCCTGGTGCATGCTCTTTGCCGATGACATCGTGCTTGTCGGGGAAGAAGGCATCGAGGTACAGAGCAGACTGACGGGGTGGCAACAGAGGCTGGAAAGTGTGCTGTGATTTCGGCGGTCTTTCCAGTCCTGTACCCATGTCGTTGGATGGCGCTATACTGCCTACCTGCTCAGAATTCAAGTACCTCGGTTCCCTCATTCAAGGCGACGGCGGAATAGATAGAGCTGTGCAGCATAGGATTAACGCAAGGTGGATGAAATGGCGACAGGTCACAGCCACAACGTGCGATCCCCGAATGCCAATAAGGCTGAAGGGGAAAATTTACAAATCGATCATCCGACCTGTCGTCATGTATGGAAGTGAATGCTGGGCCGTCAAGAAGAAGGATGAAAATAGACTGCATGCGAATGAAATGAGAATGTTACGATGGATGTGTGGTGTGACAAGGATGGATAAGATAAGGAATGAGTATATAAGAGGAAGCCTGAAAGTAGCGCCAGTGGTAGAAAAGGTGAGAGGAAGCAGATTGGCATGGTTTGGGCATGTGATGCGGAGGGATGAAAGTCATGTCACAAAACGAGTGTTGAATATGAATGTGGAGGGACACACGGGCAGAGGAAGGCCGAATAAAAGATGGATCGATTGTGTGAAGAGTGATATGAGAATGAAAGGAGTAAGTATGGAAATGACGGCTGATAGAGAGGAATGGAACAAGAAGATTTACTGCGCCGACCCCAGATAATGGGAAATGGCTTAGAGAATGATGATTATATTTGCTTATTTAATATAATATTATATCACAAATACATTTTAATGATATTCTTATCTCAATATTTTAAAAGGTATCTATCTCAAATATAAAAAACACACTAAAAATGTATGTTTAACAAAACTTATTAACATAACATTTAAATTACAAATATATTTATTAAAATTAAAATAAGAGTCGTTCATAAATGCTGGGTACGAGAAATTTAAAAATGGACGAATTTATTCCACTTTGACTTTGATATGAAAACCTAAAAATAAAATAAAAGAATAATAAGCAGATTTAAACATGAAAAATATTTAGCCTAATTATAATAACTTATATATGTTTCTACAAAAAAATGTGTATAATAATATATTCGTATTATACTTAAGTACCCACAGAAATGTCGCATCTGAACATATTAATTTCATAATCTATATTTCATGACACGAGATGGCGTCTTAGGAATTATTTGTTTTATTATTAATCTATAATACTTTTTTATTGATTAAGTATCTTATTAACTGATGAAAAGTAATTCCTTGGTTTTTACTGAAATTTCTTGAATTATTTATTATATTTTTATTATATATTTATCTAAGTATACACGACGCCATATTTTTATCAAGAGATTTTTTTAAATCAACACAACACGTGACAACTCTACAAGCGCCTAGCGAGTGACTGATTAAAGTGCGGTGTATTCACCGCAGTTGAGTGGAACATAGTAGTTGAATGCAGTGTCGCCTCTAGTACGTAGTACGTAATAGCTCAATAAGTCAATTCCATTTTCTCAACGACTAAACAAGTTTGACAAAACCTTGTGACAAGACCGAGAATCTTTTTTTAAATAAATAAATGGTATTCGATTTTTAAAACCAAGGAGTTTTCAATTAAAAATATTTTAATATGACAGGAACAGTGGAAATATTCCATTCCCGATACTTTTAGTGCAGCCTATGTATCCGTTGTCACAAGTTGGGATTGAGGTAAAGCTATTTCTTGCATAAGGTTATTGGTTTGTAAGTTGATAAATGATTCTTATAACGTGACTTAAAATTAATCTTTAAAATACATTCATGTAAAGGTGAAGAAATGTTATTCTAGTATTTAGTAGCTGTTTTAAATTCAAACTTACTCCGTAATTAGAGCAATAAGTGGGATTGGCAAGAAGATATGTACAAGATCTGATCATGTTTGATATTTTCTCCATGTGACAAATATTGAGGACTTCATTTTAACACAATAAAATGGGCAAATTAGCGAAGAATGCAATTTCTCACGCTATTATTTTTAAAATACCTGCATATTTTAAAAATAATAGCATTTTTGATATTAAGAAATACAAACGTGTCGATGACTTAAATGTATCTTTTGTAAAATATAGGTTCCATGTTCTGTAATTCAATGGCTTAGTTTCCAGAGAACAACAGTTTCACAGAGTTCCACTGAATGTATTCGCGGATGCTTTAATAACATAATTTTTAAAATTAAAGTTTAATATTTTGTTACATCATGTTTAATTACTTATAATTTTTTTGAATCAGTACAAGAAAAGAAAATATTAAAGAGCTTTGGGCTAAATGTTTTTCATCTTCGAAGTATAAAGAATAATATACATTCAAAACATTCTCTACTTCGTAATATTACATAGAGAAATTCAAAACTGGAGAAAAAACAAAGCAGGACGTCTTTTTATAAACAACTATAAAATAAAAAGGTGCGGTTATCCGTCTGCCTGTCAAGAAACCATGGCATATACCCCCTTCCCCCATGAGCCCATCTATAAATATACAGACTCGGAATTATTCAGGATATTATATATTCGGAATGTTCTGTTTGTAGGGCACACAAACACTTGTTCCATGGAGGATACGAACACGCTGTCCAGAAGGAAGCAAAATTGCGAGATAGTTTTGTGTATATTAACAGAAGATCTTATTTCGTGATTCTATTCAATACCTTAATTCTTACTTATGACTTTTTAAAAAATTGTTGTTACATGGATTATTATAAAAAAGAGCAAGCATCTAAGAAAAAAATGTACAAAAAAATGTTTTTCATTCTTAAATTACTTGTAGTATCAAAAATTAAAATATAATAATATACTGCTATTACAGCGTTTTGGTGACGCTAACAAGTTAAATTTTTCCCATACAAAATCTCAAATGCATCTAGAACGCATGTTATACGCGCAACCTGTCATACTTACAGCTACAAATATAATGTTGACATTAATATGTCGGTGAAGCGAACTCATAAGATTTACCCATCAAAAAATCGCCAATTGCGCCCAATGAAGTTTTTATTTTAAAAAACTTCGAAAATATGTGAAAAACTACTCAATAATTGTGATAAGTCGGACAATCCACAAATCCACTTATTCTTATCTAAAATGTTGCCTTAAAGCATGGTCCTAAACCGTCTGCGTCTATTGAATTTCTGCATATCTTACCAAATCGCCACTTCAACTGGTGGCGAACAGTACTACATTTTGTTGTACATTTTGCCAGTTTTGAATTTGCCACACCAGATATTATCTCTTCTTGATGATTAAATTAGAATCCAAACTAAAAAGCGCACATATTTGTCTAGCCACAGAAATCAAGCAAGAATTTCGTGACGTTATAAAGAATTTAGAAGGTGATTTCAAGCAAATAACTGAATCCTTAACACAAGAAGTATGTAACTTAAAGCTTGAGGTCAATACCCTTAGTGAAAAAGTGCAGGCACTCGAGAATGAAAACATGTGCATCCACAAAGAAATTGAATCTCGTCAAACTGCTCAAACAAATGCACACTTGGAGAGTATTATTACGGAGTTACAGCAGCAAATAACCTACAAAGATCAAGAAGCCCTGCTAAATGATGTCGAAATAGTCGGAATACCAGAATTTTCAGGCGAATCAACAATGCATATTGTGTTGACCGTTGCCTCTAAACTCGGAGTATCTCTAACGGAACAAGACATAGTTTACGCTGAGCGCGTCGGTCGCCGTTTAAATTGGCTGCATAAGGATACGCGAATAGGTAACCAAAACAACAAATCATTATCTATTAGTGCGCGCCCCTTGGCTGTAAGATTGACGCGTCGTACATTACGCGATCACTTATTAAAAAAATGCTCGAGTGCGCCGTACGCTTCCTACTGGAGACCTAGGACTACCACCTCACGAATCAACTACTTTTTATGTTAATGAACGTTTAACAAAAATAAACCGCATTTTATTTGCTAAAACACGTGAAATAGCTAGAAATTTAAATTGGAAATTTGTATGGACAAAGGGGGGTCGTGTTTATGTTAAGCGTGAAGACTCTCATAATATTCCTGCGCGCATAGTAAACTCCGAAACGGATATTGAACGTATTTTTGGTGTACCCTATTCAAAAATTTCTAAATAATGTTAAATGTATTTTGGGGCTCCTTACTATTTTATTTTTGTTCATTTTATTAGATAATATTGTGCTTTTTATTATACCTTATACTTTATTATTAATTACATGTTATTTCATACTTTTTAATTCCTATCTTTTATACCATATTTCATTACGTCTATATTCTGCAGTAGTTTGCTGTAGTAATGTTGTACGTGTGGTAGTATTTTTAACCTTATGTGCTAATAAAGCTTCTGTCCTGCAGAATCTGTATTATTGCGTAAACATTTTTATGACTTTGTTAATTTTTTTGGAATTGGTTAACGTTATTTTAACTTACTTAGTTTTACTTACTTTCTTTTGTTAGCTAGTACAAGTATGGAAATATGTTGTTTTTATTCTGAATATTTTTTTAATAATTATTTTTACCTTATTTTATTCTCATTTTTGTGCGAGTACTTTGTAAATTTTTTTGGTAAGTTGTATGTATTTTTTGATGATATATTGAAAATAATTATAGATTTTATATGCATGCCGATGCTAGCCAGTTCAAATTATAATATTATATGTTACTATAAATACTCTTTAATTATTTGTGTTCAACATATCGACGATTATATACATGAAATGATTATTCATACAAAAATATTATTACAATATGGCTACTACTAAAAGTAAAAGTTTAAGAGTTGGCCTTTATAATGCTGGGTCGATCAGAAGCAAAAACGATGAGTTTCAGGCAGCTCTGCTGCGTGAGTCTGCTGATATTATGGCGATAAACGAAATGTGGCTACGAGCTGGTGAAGATGCCTGTGCTCCGTTAGTTTCCGGCTATCGCTTCAGTCATATTCCCCGTTCTTGTAACATATCTAGAACACGTGGTGGTGGTGTTGGTTTTTACATCAAACGAGGGATTAATGCTCGTTCTTATGCCCATAATATTATCTTTGACGAGGTCGAGCAGCAGTGGCTATCGCTATCCATTAACAAAGTGAAGCTTTTAATCGGAACGGCCTATCGACCACAATGGGTAAATGTAGAAAGGTTCTTTGATTCTCTTACAGACACTTTAACTTCGTATTCAAATTTCGATAATATAATTTTATTAGGAGATTTCAATATAAATATTTTGGATGAAAGTGACAACAAAACGCAACAGCTTAATCAATTCTTGCAATATACTAGGTTGAAAAACTGTATTTTTCAACCTACCCACTTTACACAAGAGAGTGCTACATTAATTGATTTGGTAATGACGGACGCCGGTGTGACTAATACTAGTGTAAAATATACTCCTGAACTTGGTGGTCATGCTATCATATTAGTTGATTTTAAGATTAAACGACCTAAGCTAGCTCTAAGGCAGCAAATTATAAGACCTATGAAAAATATCAATCTGTCAGATTTTGAGTCGGAAGTTGAATCCATAAATTGGGATAGCATTACTAGGTACAATTGTGTGAATGATATGGTTTCTGTTTTCTCCAAACGCATTTTAGAGTTGTTTGATAAACATGCTCCAGAGAAACTAATAATTATGCGTAAGAAACAATTGCCATGGTTCACGAGTAATGTTAAGTACATTATGCAGCTCCGGGATAGCGCGCACAATAAATATCGTCAAACTAAAACTGAGAGAGATAAAATTCAATATAAGACCCTTAAAAGTCTGGTAAACAGTACTCTCTATGCCGAGAAGAAGGCATATTTTGATTACCACATTAATCAACATTTACATAACACAAATGTTCTATGGAAAAATTTGAAGTCATTTGCGTTACCATCATTTAAAAGTTCGAATGAATTACCAGAATATTTTAGTGATCCCGACGAAATTAATCGTCACTTTTTGAGTATACCGGGAACAAACATCGCCTATTCACCTAATGTAATTAATTTGGAAAGTATAAACCGTATATCTGATACTTTTAAGCTAATGCCAGTTCATGAAAATGTAGTTGCAAGAATCATAATGGGAATTAAGTCAAATGCTCAAGGCGTTGACCGCATTAATATGGATATGATAATTCTAACGCTCCCGATAACTTTAAATGTTATAACTACAATAATTAATAAATCCATTACAGAGTCTGTTTTCCCTTCTTCTTGGAAAACTGCGCTTATTCGTCCAATACCAAAAAAAAGTAACCCAACAAATGTAGGTGACCTAAGACCCATTAGTATACTGCCTTATTTATCGAAAATACTTGAAAAGGTTGTTTACTCACAAGTTTTGAATTTCTGTGAAAAAAAATCAAATAATACCCAACCTACAATCAGGTTTTAGAAAAAATTACGGTACAGCAACAGCTCTGATTAATGTCGTGGATGATCTGTTATCTTTTTCGGATTCTGGAGAAGGTACTATTCTCACTTTATTAGATTTTTCAAGGGCCTTTGACTCAATTAACACAAATTTGCTGATTTGTAAGCTTTCATATTACGGCTTTGATAAAGAAACACTCAAGTGGTTCAAAAGCTATTTAATTGACCGTCATCAACAAGTAGTTTTAGACGGGCACAATGGTAAAAACTGTGTCTCGAAGCTTCTTCCTGTTGATAGAGGTGTTCCTCAAGGTTCCGTGTTAGGGCCTTTACTTTTTATTATTTATAGCGCTGATATAATAAACTGTCTCCAAAACTGTAAATACCATCTATACGCCGATGATTTACAGGTTTACTTACCCATAGATCGAAAAAATATTAATGCTTTAGTAAATAAGTAAAATCAGGATCTACAACGTATTTGCGATTGGTCACAAAATAACTCTATGGTAATTAATCCTTCAAAGTCGAAATTCCTTATCATTGGCACTAAAAAGCAGGTACACGATATTGGTATAACTAAACCCGATATATGTGTTAATGGAGAGACAATTGCACAAGTTCGCGAAGCACGTAATTTGGGCATTCTTTTTGACAGCAATTTGAGGTTTGAAAACCATGTAACCAATTTGGTACAAAACTGCTTTTACAGGTTAAAAGTTCTATAAAAAATTTAGACAATTCATTACAGTTAATTTACGTGTAAAACTTTGTGAAACTCTAGTTTTAGCTAAATTAAATTATTGTATAACTGTTTACGGACCTTGTTTGCTTAAGAAATCTCAAAAATTAATCCAAAGGGTACAGAATGCTTGTGCACGCTATTGTTTTTACATACCGAGACGATCTCATGTCACGTCATATCTTAACGCTTCGAATATGTTAAAAATGCAGGGGCGTCTCAAACTTTTTTATGCTTCTTTGCTATTCGGCGTAATAAATACAAAGAACCCAGAATATTTATACAAAAAACTTAACTGGAGAAATGACCAACATTTATATAAAATTCGACTATGCTCTAAAGTTTTATGCGTCCCTAAACACAAAACATCGGCTTTCCGGGGCAGTTTTAAGTTTATGGCATCTAAGTGTTGGAATGATCTCCCACCCCCTCTACGCACTATGACAAGTAAAAACAGTTTTAAAAAGAATTATAGACGTCACTTATTGAGCGAACAATTACTGTCATAATCGTATTATTCTTACATTTTAGTTTTATAAATAAAATATATAAATATTGCCAGTAGGCGGTAGTAGATTTATAAGCTCAAATAAGTTAGGCTCAGTAAAATACATATTATTTAATACTTTGTTGTTATTACTATTAGTTGTATTGTTGCAAAAATTATTACCAATATAAATTTTATGGAAAAATTTATGACAATTTATATTATATTATTATATTATATATTTCTTAATTATTAATTTGAACTGGCCAATACTCGTAATACTCGTAATACTCGTAATAATACTCGTAATACTCGTAATACTCGTAATACTAGCAATACTCGCAAAAAAAAAACACTTGCTAATACTTAGGAAAACACGACACGTACTCTTATATGAACAGTTGTTAAATTTAATATAAGCAGGGATGCGCGCGTACTGTACTCTTCATTTGTTGGGCGCTGGCAGAATAACAGCGTTGTAAGCAACTGCAACATTTATGCTGAGCTACAGCCCATTCATTACTACACTTTGTAATTTTGGTTTTTTCTGTGTATACTGCTCACTGTAACTATATTGGTGGTAATGAATAAATGTTTTATTATTATTATTATTATTATATTATTATTGAAATAATATTGTAAATTTTGTAGGAGAGACATGGGAGAACCCCAAGTTCAATCCCCGGCAGCACCAATAAAATTGTTAATTGCAATTTTAGGTGCTGATTTACACGTGCTTAGCAAAGCAAGGCAGCATTATTCATCATCCATCCATCACAACCTATAAAAGTCCAATTCTGAACAGAAACCTCCCCCATAGTTTGCCTCATATTTGACTTGACTGGAATTTGCCACTTTCGACACCTGAAATATATAAAAAACCCGCAGTATTTTTTTAAATTGTTATCAGGAAAATGCTGCAGCCCATAACCTGTTTTAATTTCCCTCTGTCGCCTCTCACGGCACCCACGGGGCGATATGGCGTAGTGGATATTCTTACACCGTCACTAACGGTTTCTTTATTTTTTCCTAGTATTCATGTGAGTGTGGTCTATTCAAGCAGAACTATTCGTACTGAATCATAGTTTTTTGATTTAGTATTCTTTATCACTACTGACCACCAGATGGGACTGTGATTAAGTACTAGCTTATGATAAAAAAAAAATCGTGCATTATACACTAGCAGCGTAAATCTATCTAAACGACGATATTAATCATAAATAGCATCATTACCATGTACTGCTTTCCCTTGCATATGCGACAGATTTTTCAACATAAGCTTTCCATCAAAAACGAAGTTCCCAAATTCTCTTGGGCGTCATAAATAA